AACATGGATGTGGGACCAGGCCTTTGGGTAATTATGTGGACAATGACAATGATGACAATTGCTATGGTAATCGACCATGGACAAGTTTGATGGAGTCTCCAACCACAGATAATGGCCACCAGACTGGTATTTTTAGTAGAATTTAATTGTATTGACCAAATGTTTTTACTATATTTATTTAATTATTGGTTTTGTTATGTATTTTATTATATGTATATGGAGGCATCGAATTGTTGCTGGATGGAAGCCGCCCAGACCCCCCCCCCCCCCGGGGGGGGGGGGGGGTTTGAGAAGGAGAGGGTACAAATATTCTAAATAAATAAATAAATAAATAAATTAGCACTGATGGGTAAACAGGCATGGTCAAACTTGGGCCTCCAGGTGTTTAGCACTTCAACCCTCACAATTCCTAACAGTCTACTTTTTTGTGTGTGTCTGGAGCAACTTGAGAAGCTGCAAGTCACTTCTGTTGTGAGAGAATTGGCCGTCTGCAAGGATGTTGCCCAGAGGGCTCCCAGATGTTTTACCATCCTTGTGGGAGGCTTCTCTCATGTCTCCACATAGAGAGCTGGAGCTGACAGCGGGAGCTCATCCGTGCTGTTCCTCGGATTCAAACCTCCAACCTGTCGGTCTTCAGTCCTACCGGCACAAGGGTTTAACCCACTGTGACACTGGGGGCTGTTAGGATTTATGGGAGTTAAAGTCCAAAACACCTATAGGCCCCATGTTTGCCCATAGGATCATATGTATATGATACTGTTGTAAAACTGCATCACATTGAGCCATGGCAGTTATAAATTGGGGTCAAACTGCATTCATGCTGTAGTGTAGATACCTCCTTACGTGACAGACATCTTGGAAGAGGAAGCAAGGGAATCAATCCAAGGCAAATCAGAGGTGGCTTTTGGTCTCACTCCACTTCTCTGCAAGTCATAAACGGTCTTTGGAAGAGATCACAAGGGCCATTCAATCCAACTCCCTGCCATGTAGGAACACAGAAAGCATCCACGATAGATGGCCATCCAGCCTCCACTTTAATATGTGGCAGTGGATTCCAGTGTCCAACTTTTTTACCATCATGACAAGTCAGTTCTCCTATCCAGTGTCTCATCCTTCCAGCCATTCCTCTTTAGGCAGAAAGGGTCAGGGATGTTCTCTCTAAAATTAGTGTTTCCCTCTTTACCGCTCGGAATAGGCTTTTTCCCTAGAATTCACTGCCTTCTTCACCGACATATTAAATGTTCCTTGTCACTGTCTGTGTTGACAAACCACTCCTTTAATGGGACACAAGGGAAAGTAGGGCTCCTCTGGATCCCTCATCTCTACTGTCCACTTGAGTCAGGCATGGACAAATTTCAGCCCTACAGGTGTTTTGGATTTTAACTCCCACAATTCTTAATAGCTTACTGTTAGGAATTGTGAGAAGTTTGTTCATGCCTGATCTGGGAGAACAGTGACTACTAAATATTCCAAAGCTGTGACTACCAAGACTGGGTTGGTAGGTGGCTGCAATGTTAGGTGAGGAACCAAAGAACCCTCAAGGGAAGAGGTAGGATCATATGTATATGGTACTAAAGCTAAATTAGCTGTCCGAATTTAAAACATATCTGAAGAGCTGGGCATGTTTAGCCAGCAGAAGAGAAGGCTGAGAGGAGACATGATAGCTGTGTATAAATTTGTGAGGGGAAGTCATGGGGCGTAGGGAGCAAGCTTGGTTTCTGCTACCCTGGAGACTAGGACACAAAACAATGCTTCAAACTACAGGAAGGGAGATTCCACTTGAACATTAGGAAGAACTTCCTAACTGTGAGAGCTGTTCAGCTGTGGAACTCTCTGCCCCAGAGTGTGGTGAAGGCTGGTTCTTTAGAGGCTTTGAAACAGAGGCCAGGTGGCCATCTGTTGGGGGTGCTTTGAATGCGATTTTCCTGCTTCTTGGCAGGGGTTTGGACTGGATGGCCCATGAAGTCTCTTCCAGTTCTATGATTCTTCTGGCAGGCCTGCCCAGTTAGTTTTAATCATGAATTTTAAGCTTGCATCTTATGTTCACTGTATTTTCATCTTTGTTCTGTGTATTTTAATATATGTGTTTTATATAATGTTTATGATCATTATGTGTTTTAGCTATATTGTAACCCACCTTGAGCCATGAGGAAAGGTGGGTAAACATAATAATAATAGAAAATACCATCATCATGAAGATGTGGCACTCTCAGCAGCTTTGGCCATTACAGTGAGTGATGAGGATTGCTAGAAGTTGCAGTCAAACACCATTTGTAGGGCCACATTGATTCCTGCTGTAGATGTTCTTGGAGTTCAGATATGTTATTCCTGACCTTTTGCTATGCTGGCTGGGGTATCTGGGGGTTGTTGGCTATTCTGATAACAGGATTCCCAACCCTGTTCTAAGATATAAATTGCACAATCGACATGGCTAGGAAAGCCAAGCCCCTGTTGCTCCTACCTCCCGTTGGGTAACTATTCTATAATAATAATATTTATTTATTACCTCACTCTCCTGATGGTTGAGGGCAGGGTACAACAAAGTAAAAAACATATGGAGATAAAATGTATACAGTAACTTACATAGTTAAAATACAAAAATATTAAAACATGCACCAAACAGAATTTCAGAATTGACATATAGTAGCAATAGAACATAAATCAAACTCATGATTGAAACTTGACTGGGCAGGCATGTTTAAAGAGATGGGTCTTCAACTGCATTTTAACTACCAGCAGCTTGTTTAGCTGTTGGAGCTCTTCTGGCAGGTCATTCTGCAATTGTGGGGCGGCCCATGAAAACGTCCTCTGGGTGACAATCGCCAGTCGAGTTCTGGCTGGTTGGAAGTAAGCATCTATTCTGGCTGTGTGAGTCCTCTGGTTGGCATGCCAGTCCCGCTGTAGAAGCTCAGCTGTTTCATTGGGTATTATTACCTCACTGCAGGCGTTCTGGTGATCCGACAGAATCAACTCTTCTCTCCCTAGCCTGCGTCTTCCTGGGTTTGCAACAATGGTGTCTGTGACAATGGGTAAGACTGATCTCTCTCTCTCTCTCTCTCTCTCTCTCTCTGTGTGTGTGTGTGTGTGTGTTTGAAAGCGAATTCAGACAAGCTAAAATACAACAGAGATCCCATAGAGTAGGAAAATATGGCATTGGGGTTGCTGCAAAGTATAGGGCCTGCTTTCTTTGTTTATGAGTTTGTTGGCTATTGAGCTGAGCTTAGACATCTAGCAACAGCTGCATATTTGAAGAATTCAAGTCAATCAAGCTCATGGAGGACTTGCCTAAAAAAGATACTGGAGCAGTAGTTAGAGTAAGACCAAGAAGTTGGGAAAGGGAGAAATAATAATTACCCAACATTCATTCTCCCTTTCCCTGAAAAGTAGCCCTGTTCCTCTATATTAAACAAAATTCTTATTTTACTGCCTTAAACCTGGTAATTGCCATCAGATGTCATGGAAATAAAAAATGAGGAACTGAATCCTGAGGCATATCCAGCCTTCTGGGCTTTCTTACATGGCCATAACCTTTTTTCTGTGGCTCATTTTAAATTAAAAGATTCATAAAATGAGCATAAATAAAACAGATAGCTACTAAGAAAGTGACCTTTAGGTCAGACGAGTCTCAATAACTTTTTTGTTGATATTGCTGATAACTTTAAAGTGACTGATACCTAAAGTATATGGCTTTGCAATGAAATGACAATAAATACAAATGGACCCAAAAATGATCTGGAAGTCAGCCTTAATCTGTGCCGGATAATCCCTGGACCAATCTCCTCTTCCCACAAAAAACTTTTTAAAAATCTGAAAAAATATTTGAGAAAAATATTAGAATACCTATTTCAAATTTGTAGAATCTGTTGCATCAAGGCCTTGTGATGTTCTGTATTGTAATAGTACTAGCCAAATAGTACGAAAATAGTTAAGATTCTTTTCTGTTTAAATGGTGGGCAAAAGATCTGATATCTAGCCATTATGGAAAACTGTTTTATTGACATTTAAGTGTATAATGAATCCAGTTGCCTCAGCCACATTGTTTTATGATGTCGTTTATTATTGTGTTATGTTTTTCTTATTTTTATTTGATTGATTTTAATGTGTTTTATTTTTATCTGTAACTTTTGGGCTTGTTTCCTTTGTAAGCTGCCCCGAATCCCCTTGGGGAGATGGCGGCGGGGTATAAAAATAAAATTGTTGTTTTGTTGTTATAAGTAAACTGATTGATTTTTAACCCACCTGGTGCCCATTAATTCTATATGCTAATTATAAAAATATAAATATTATTTGTCTAGAAAATGACAGAAGAGAATGCTAATGATAATTGCAACAGGAAAAAGAATGACTGACTAGGAAGGAAGAATGGAATTATATATGGATGTCTCCAACCCAAGGGACAGGAAGTCACTAAATTGGGAGGGATAGGAGGAGGGCAGAGCATAGCCAAACTTGAATGTTGTATAGACGTTAGGAAGTATTGTATTGGTTCATGTATATGTACATGTATATAGATTTGTTTCACTGTTTTTTATAAATACGTAAATTGAAAATAAAAAACATTAATAAAAAAAGAATGATTAATGTGTAGAGTGGAAAGGGATAATTTTATTAAACTGCAAAAACCTTGTTTTTGTGGGAGATCCTGCAGCACATTTTGTTATAGTTTTTCAATGAATATCTCCTCGAGTCCCACCCAATTCAACATAGTTTGTGGCAGCCACAAAAACAAAGTTTCTGGAGTATAACGACTGCTTTCAATGTAAGTCATAAACTATCAAATTCATCATAGGAGGTTTGAGTAAGAATTAATTCCTTACCATTATGATCTCCTGTTTTATTAATTACTGTGCTGTGTGGAGATAAGGGAAGGGTTCATTCTCATTTGATATGTTCTAGAATTCAAGCAAAAAAATATTTTGGAGAAAGGGGGCTGGTCATGAGTAAGATTCCATTATTATTGGTAGTAGCTTATCAGTAACACGTTATTCCGATTGTCGCTCAGAGATGCTTCTTATTTGCACATTTTGGGTGTCTGTCTACTTTTTTTTTGAGTCTCCAACAAAAAAAGATAAGATTAATAGTTTAAGAGAATTTTCATTTTTTTCCCAGCTACATCAGAGTGGATCCAGTTCTTCAAAGAGGCTGGTATCCCCCCAGGGCCTGCTGTCAACTATGCTGTCATGTTTGTGGATAACAGGTGGGGCTGTTGAGAGGTGAAATCACACTGGAACAATTGACTGATATACTTTCTGTGCTTGTACTGCAATCTGGGAGACAGCCTTCAGATCCTTGTAAACAAATCTGAGTGATCTCAGATAGCAAAATTACTCAGGCCCCATTTAAAATTGCTTGAAAACCTAGAATGCTTTCTCTTTTCTCCCCCTGCAAACTTCTCAAGTAGCTCAAAAATGATAGTGGACTTTTAATGTTGAAATGTCTTTGGCTCTAAGAACTTTGCAAGACAGGAAAGCCATTGGCTAGATTCTTATAAAGTGGAGAGTTCTAGGGTCCAGAAGCAATTCTTTGCTTGCCTTAAATTCTCCTTAAGGTTAGCTAGAACAACCTTCCTTATGCCAACCCATCCTATTAGGAGTGTTAGTAAATCATGTCAGGGAACTGTGGGGTAGGAAGAGGGAGAGACATTTTATTGTGAGATGATCCACCATCACAGCATGTGTGTTTCCCCCAGGATCCAGAAGAACATGCTGATGGACCTCAACAAGGAGATCATGAACGAGCTGGGCATCACCATTGTTGGGGACATAATTGCAATCCTTAAGCATGCCAAAGTGGTATATAGACAGGTAAGTTCCTCTTGGGGCTTCGGCAGTTATAGGGAGATGTTGACAAGCTGGATGTGTCCAGAGGAGAGCGACTAAAAGGATCAAGTGTATGGAGAACATGTTTAGCCTGCAGAACAGAAGGCTGAAAGGAGACACGAAGGCCATGTATAAATATATGAGGGGAAGTCATAAAAAAGAGGGAGTAGGCTTATTTTCTGCTGCCTTGGAGACTAGGATGGGGAACAATGGCTTCAAACTATAAGAAAGGAGATTCCACCTGAACATAAGGAAGAACTTCCTAACTGTGAGAGCTATTCAGCAGTGGAACTCTCTGCTCCGGAGTGTGGTGAAGGCTCCTTCTTTGGAGGCTTTTAAACAGAGGCTGAATGGCCATCTGTCAGGGGTGCTTTTAATGTGATTTTCCTGCTTCTTGGCAGGGGATTGGGCTGGATGGCCCACAAGGTCTCTGTTAGGCGAGTGGGCTTATTAACAAAAGACCCTCCTCATAACTAAGCAGCAGCAGCATGACCCAGCACCAGTAGCCAAAAGTGACAAAAAGAACAAAAACAGATCAATGTTATCTCTTCCATTAGAGGCTTTTCTTTGTAGTAAAATAATATAGTTGCAGTATTTACAATAACAAGATTTCCACAACCCAAATAAACAAATACATAGTAGCTTTACATGCAGCAGCCTTCACACTGGAGCTTTCTCACATGAGGCTTCTCTCACACAGAGGTTACCTCACGCTCCCCAGGACGACACTAGCTTTGGCCCACTGACTCTAACAGGCTTCGGCCTACTCACTGTTTCAGTGCTTGACTCACACTTTTGTAATCAAAAATGCCTAGTTAATTTTTTAATATTTCTGACAGTCTCTTCCAACTCTATGATTCTATGAATGAGGAGCTACATTCTCCAGGGCTGGATGGTTCTGGCATCCTGAGCCAGTGCCCAGAATTTTGATCCAGCATCATGGGCCCAGTACATTTCTCAATTTGCCCCTCTCTGGTCCTTTCTTGATTCCTTTTATTGTTGTGTGGGAGATTTTTGCATAGTTATGAGAAGACAAAGAGTTCCGCTTCTCACCAGTACATTGTGGCATCCTCATGTCCCTAGGAAATGTGCAAGGCTGCAACAGAGTCAGTGACCCCGAATCAAACCACCTTGCAGTCTGAACTACGCAGAAATGCCAACAGCGGTGAGTATGGGAAACAGAAATGATTGTCAGAGCAGACTGAATTGCACTGATACTTTAATGAGGCTACAATGCTGATATGGTATATATACAATCCCACCCCTGTCATCATAGGACCAGTACCCATAGAGTTTACTATTACACTATGTAACACGGTTTTTGTTCCTGGGTTATAAATGCCATTTCCTAATTAGTTCTATCATAAAAACATGGATAATTTTATTAAACTGCAAAAACCTTGTTGTTTTTGTGGGAGATCCTGCAGCACATTTTGCTATAGAGAGACAGGGCCTTCTCGGTGGTGGCCCCTCGGCTGTGGAACTTCCTCCCTAGGGATATTATATCGGCCCCCTCCCTCCGTAAAAAAGTCAAAACCTGACTCTTTAAAGTTTTTGCAAATGCCGTGCAATAGGTAAATATGGAACTACGGAACAGCTTAGATCAGGGGTCCCCAAAGTACGGCCCGTAGGCTGTATGTGGCCCGCCGAGGGCATTTCTCCGGCCCGCGTGGCCTGGTCTGGCCTGGCCACACCCACCCGTTGCCGCTCTGCCCATTTTGGACACCCTCTGCTCCGGCCGCTCGGCTCTGCAAAAGACCCAGAGCAGAGCGGCCGGAGCAGAAGGTGTCCGAGATGGGCGGAGCAGCGCCGGGTGGGCGTGGCCACGGAACGCCGGCGTTCCCTGGCCCCGCCCACCGCGCCCAACCATTGCGGACACCCTCTGCTTCGGCCGCTCTGCCTGTGTGGGAGGGAGAAGCCTCCCAGGTGTGTCTTCTGCAGAGCCGAGCGGCCGGAGCAGAGGGTGTCGAAAATGGGCGGAGCGGCGCCGGGTGGGCATTCCGGGGTTCCCTGGCCACGCCCACCCGGCACTGCTCCGCCCATCTCAGACACCCTCTGCTCCGGCCGCTCTGCTCTCCGCGGCCACGGGACGCCTCCTGCTCCACTACCAGCCGCGCCTGGAGAACAAGCCCCTGCAGCAAAAAGGTTTGGAATATCACTGCCAATTTTTTAAAGCTTTTAAACAGGGGCTGAATGGCCATCTGTCAGGGGTGATTTGAATGCAATATTCCTGCTTCTTGGCAGGGGGTTGGACTGGATGGCCCATGAGGTCTCTTCCAACTCTTTGATTCTATGATTCTAAGTTTTCAGGTGAACTACAAATCCCAGCAAATACAACCCCCAAACGCCACCAGTGTTCACATATTGAGTGTCAGTGCCAAGTTTGGTCCAGATCTATCATTGAGTCCACAGTGATTTATGGAGGCAGGTGAACTACAACTCCAAAACTCAAGGTCAATGCCCACTAAACCCAGTATTTTCTGTTGTTCATGGGAGTTCTGTGTACCAAGACTGGTTCAATTTCATCATTGGTGGAGTTTAGAATGCTCTTTGATTTCAGGTGAACTATAAATCCCAGCAAATACAACCCCCAAACGCCACCAGTGTTCACATTTGGGCATATTGAGTATCAGTGCCAAGTTTGATCCAGATCCATCATTGTTTGAGTCCACAATGATCTCTGGATGTAGGAGAACTACAACTCTAAAACCAAAGGACACTGCCCACCAAACCTTTCCAGTATTTTTTTTTTTTGGGAGAACTCTGTGTCAAGTTTGGTTCAATTCCATTGTTGATGGGGTTCAGAATGTTCTTTGATTATAGGTAAACTATAAATCCCAGCAACTACAACTCCCAAATGACAAAATCAATTTTTTTAGTGAGGACATACATTGGGTTGTTAGGTTTTCAGTGCTTTTTGAGTTCTGTTAATCCCACAAACGAACATTACATTTTTTTATATAGATTTATTTCCTATATTTATACCCTGCCCTTCTCCCCCCACCCCAAAAAGGGGACTCATGCTTACATATTCCAAAAACCACTTTCAAAAAGACAGAAAATAGAATGTTTTCCTCATTTTAATTGGAACTATTTTATCTTCAGAAATGCTAAAACCATGCTTTATGTTCAGATTGTAACAATAAAAATACATCCTGCATATCAGATATTTACATTACGATTCCTAACAGTAGCAAAATAGGACATGTGCAGTGTGCATAGGAATTTGGTCATCTTTTTTTAAAAAAACTATAGTCCGGCCCTCCAACAGTCTGGGGGACAGTAATCCGGCCCCCCGTTTAAAAAGTTTGAGGACCCCTGGCTTAGATGATGCAATTGGAAAATGAATTTAATAAGAAGATGTTGATGATTATATGTTTTTAATGATTTTGTATGGTTTTTATATTATGTGCTAAATGTTTTAAACTGTTTTTTATGTTTGTTGTGGAATCTAATTGCTGCCAACTTGTAAGCCACCTTGAGTTGCCTTCGGGCTGAGAAAGGTGGGATATAAATACGATAAATAAATAAATAGTTTTTCAATGAATACCTCATCAAGTCTCACTTAATTCAACATAGCTTGTGGTAGCCACAAAAACAAAGTTTCTGGAGTATAACAACTACTTTCAAAGTAAATACCACACAATTAAACAGAAAATAACACTTTCAAATCAGGAACAGAACATTTTTCAAATTTTGTTCCATAGTGCTATCCACAGTTTCACTATCCACAAAAATCCAGAAACCTACCTCCTGCAGATACAGGGGCTGTGCTATATTCAATTCATCCATTCATCCAGAATAGTATTTTTAATGTTATGGATAGTTTAGTTGCATTTTAACATATAGTTTGTATGTTTTTCATATCTTTGTATGTACTTTTATCTCTATTTCTTTTACATTTTGTGAGTCATATTCAACCACAGTTTTGGATGAGTAAACTATTCCAATGGTAGTAACAATATTTCCAGCTACAACAACACTAGATGAATGTTTCATAGCTTTTAAATCACAAATCAGGACGTTGTTTCTTCAAAGCTACCCTAAAGACGCCATTAAACTTTTTTCATTTTCTTTATTACAAAAGTCTTTGGTTGTTCTATTCTTTTGTTTAACTGTAGTTTTTATTGCTGGGTGAGAATACATGATCTGAATGCCTTGAGTATGTAGGATAAAAATATTGTGAGTAGACAATATCCCAGACCTTGCAGTCCTCTGTACATTTGCTTCATTGCTTGTTTCTACTGTTTCTGCAGCTGCCACCCGGATGATTGCAAACAGCTTGAGCCGGGACTCTCCTCCTTCCACTCCTGTTCGGAGACCTGACAGCAATGCCTCTAAAATTTCTGTCACTGTCTCCAACAAAATGGCTACGAAGAATGCCAAAGCAAGTGAGTAAGAGGAGGGTTGGATGAGAAGTGTGGTGATTGGGGGGTAGTTTTCTGTGTGCTAGGTGTCAAGGGACAGCTTATGGATTTTTTCTCAATAACACAATGCCACTTGGGATGTGACGAAGTCTTGAGGAGGGTGCATGTTTGTTATCTGCTGTCCCATTAGATGTCTAAAAAATTTAACTTACTGGAAGATGGAGTCCAATTCAATATTACCAGGAAATTATTTAAAAGTGTTTTTGCAAAGAGGTCCTTTACATAGTGGGATAATGGGATCCCATTTCCTGGATATCTTCAAAAAGAGGCTGGACAGCTACCTGTTAAGGATGCTATGTCACAGTGGTTTGCAACCTTCCTAATTCTGCAACCCCTTAATACAGTTTCTCATGTGGTGACCCCCAACAATAAATTAATTTTGTTGCTACTTCATAACTCTAATTTTGCTACTGTTCTGAATCGTAATGTAAATATCTGATATGCAGGATGTATTTTCATTCACTGGACCAAATTTGGCACAAATACCCAATATGCCCAAATGTGAATACTGGGGGGTTGGGGGAGGAGTTGATTTTGTCATTTGGGAGTAGTAATTGCTGGGATTTATAGTTCACATACAATCAAAGATCATTCTGAACTCCACCAACAATGGAATTGAACCAAACTTGGCATACAGAACTCCCATGACCCACAGGAAATACTGGAAGAGTTTGGTGGGCATTGACCTTGAGTTTTGGAGTTGTAGTTCACTTACATCCAGAAAGCACTGTGGACAATATGTGGAGTTTGGGGGAAATAGTCCTTGACATTTGGGAGTTGTAGTTGCTGGGATTTATAGTTCACCTACAATCAAAGAGCATTCTGAACCCCACCAACGATAGAATTGGGCAAAACTTCCCACACAGAACCCCCCTGCCTTGAAGGGACTGTATATTGTGAACCGCTCTGAGCCTTCGGGGAGTGGCGGTATATAAATAAATATAAATAAATAAATAAAAATAAAAGATGGCGGTTCAAATCTGGGGAGTGGAGTGAGCTCCCATCTGTCAGCTCCAGCTTCTCGTGTGGGGACATGAGAGAAGCCTCCCACAAGGATGGTAAAACATCTGGGTGTCCCCTGGGCAACATCCTTGCAGACAGTCAGTTCTCTCACAACAGAAATGACTTGCAGGTTCTCAAGTTGCTCTTAACACGAAAAAAAACAGTAAAGAAAGAAACATCACAATCTTGGGCCGAGAAATGGACATAGTTGTTTTTCCAGGTTTTCAGGGGCCAACACATATTTTGGTGTCTCAAATGTTAGGCCTGTTTCTGGGTGTATTAGACCTGCTGATTCCAAAAATTCCCCTATCTGCTCTAGTTTTTGAGATACAGAACATATGCCATATACCAGTTGCCACCTCTTTGCCCATAAAGAATCATGATAACCATATCTAAGGAATTAGAGCTGATGCGGTCTATTGAATGCAATTTTTCTGAATCAGTGCCCCAAATAACCCCAAGAACAGGCCTAAAAACCAAGACACCTAGACTTTTTTTTTAGTTGGGTTTATTAAGATGTTCAACTGAAAAGTTTGTGGGGTTAAGCCATTAGAGGGAATTCATATCCAATGCTGTGAGATCTGCCAATCTTTTCCCACTTGGAGCCAAACAAAGAGCAGAAGATGGCAGTGCTGTCTCTGTAGTGCCCATTTGAGCTGAGCAGTCTTATCTTCTGTTGTGACCACAACGACATCCCAGCGCCTTGGGATTCTTGGTTTTTTGTCATCATGGACATGCTTTGGAGCAGTAGAAGCTCCTTTTTGCAGCATTCACTTGGAGCAGGGCTTTGTGATGAAGTGGACCTCCTTATTTCTGTCCTCTTGCAGCTGCCACTCTCAGCAATCCTGAGGCCGAAAATTCCACGATCCCAGTGAAGCGGCGCCGTGTCACTGCAGAGATGGAAGGGAAGTACATTGTCCACATGCCAAAAGGAACGACGCCCAGGACCAAGAAGATCCTGGAGCAGCAGGCAGCAAAAGGTATCAAGGTCACTTCCCTGTGAGAATGGCAGGGTGGATGTCTCTTACTAGTAGGATATGGCAGGAGAGGAGTATGTAGATGGGTTGCTGAGAGTTTTCCGGGCTGCATGGCCATGTTCCAGAAGCATTCTCTCCTTACATTTCACCCACATCTATGGCAGGCATCCTCAGAGGTTGAGGGGTCTGTTGGTTTATATATCTGTGGAATGTCCAGGATGGGGGAAGGAACTCTTATCTGCTTAAGGCAGGTGTGAATGTGCAATTTTATTTATCGTGTCAGGGGCAGACCAAACAGTTGCATTGCATTTTTTAACAAAACAAACAACCAAACAGAACACAAAGTTTGCAAGCCTGGTAGTTGATTAAATGTCCTTTGACCAGTAGCTGGACACTTGGAGTGCCTCTGGTGTTGCCGCAAGGAGGTCCTCCATTGTGCATGTAGCAGGGCTCAGGTTGCATTGCAGCAGGTGGTCTGTGGTTTGCTCTTCTCCACACTCGCATGTCGTGTATTCCACTTTGTAGCCCCATTTCTTAAGGTTGGCTCTGCATCTGGTGGTGCCAAAGCGCAGTCTGTTCAGCGCCTTCCAAGTCACCCAGTTTTCTGTGTGCCCAGGGGGAGCCTCTCATTTGGTATCAGCCACTGTTTGAGGTTCTGGGTTTGAGCCTGCCACTTTTGGACTCTCGCTTGCTGAGGTGTTTCAGCGAGTGTCTCTGTAGATCTTAGAAAACTGTGCAATTGGCCACGTTGATTTGCATTTAATGGCCTTGCAGCTTCAAAGCCTGGCTGCTTCCTGCCTGGGGGAATCCTTTATTTGGAGTTGTTAACTGGCCCTGTAGATGGCTTATGACAGGGTCATCATTTTATAATTACAGACTAAGATAACACACTTTGAGCAAAAAATAGGGAACAAAGCAGATTTTGCTTCTGATGTTTGGACAAGAGCTTGAAACATGTAGATTCCCTTTTTGGAAGTTAGCTTCACTAACTGGGTTCCCAATAGAAGTGGGCAAAGTGTGCTCTAAGAAGCACATATTGCAGGCACCATCAAATGAGCAGTGGTGCTTGTGGCTGTTTTCCCATTTAGGACTTCCCTCGGCTATTTTAGGCCCAAAAAAAGGTGTTTTGTAAAAAGTAGGATGTAAACAGGAAGTGACTTCCAGACACTTCCTGTTTTCAAAAAAAGGCCTCTCTTGGGACGAGAAGTGACCTAAAACATGATGAAAATGCCAACTCACCGCACCCCAAGTGCATAACAAAATATTCTGGGATAAAAAAATATATTTTTGTTAGTGGTTTTGTAATAGGATGCAGCCCCCCTAAGACTAGAGGCCCTGAAGGTTTTTTGGGGTTTTTTTGTAAAACACCTTTCTTCATTTTCACTTCGTTTCTCTTATGCAAATTATGTCTGTTTACCTCCCTCCCTTCGCTTCCCAATCATTGATAGGTCTACAGAGAACGTCAGTGTTTGATCGGCTTGGTGCAGAGACCAATGCAGACACAACTACAGGAAGTAAAGTAAGAGCACATCAGGGATGCTTCTTTTCCTTTTGGGGCTCTCCTTTGAGTTTGCACCTGCATTTAGATCCCTCCAAAGGTGTGCACTTAAAAAAGACTATAGGTGGGGTTGGCTTTTTGGTTTGTGATGTATCTCTATTAGTCGAGAAGGGAAATTACTTTCAAATTGGTAGGGATAACTCTACTATGATTGCCATACTCTTAGAACTCTCTAGCAGAGTCTAGCTGCAGATGGTTTCTCTTGAAGGGGCTCTTGACTGGCAAATTATGTATTTATGTATTCTGCTCACGGCAGCATCTCCCATAGTTGCACACTTCCAATTGACATGTTATGTAATGTTGCGTTTCAGCCTGGGCATTATATGGTGCTAGCATAGTATGTGAATATTTACACCAATCTCAGTGCCTATTGGATTTATTTATTTTACTATTTATTTACTTAGAACTTTTATATCCCATTCTTCTCTACCTCCATGGAGGGACTCAGAACAACTAACAACAGCAAAAATTCAATGCTACACAAAAAATAACATTTTAAAAAACAACATACGTAATATATGCATTATAAATACATATAAAAGACAGTTCATCAAGTTAAAAACAACATCCAACTCAATCCAAACATTGTGGTCCAATATTGTTGAAAACAACATCCAACTCAATCCAAACATTGTGGTCCAGGATTGTGGCCTGAGAGTGTGACTGTACCCACAAACACACTTACTTGACCACTTTTCACCAAAGAGAGAAGGGATATGTGTATTTTAATATACATTTTATTTACATACATTAATGGCTTACAGTGTAAACAGAACACAAAACAATGAACATTTTACAAACACAGAACCCCACCACCAAGGCCTGAATAAGTATCATTTCCTCTGCCATAAATTTATGAATCAACCAACAAATGAAATTCATATCAAAATTTTCTGATCAACAAGGTTGTATTGTTTTCCCTTTTCAGTCTCTACAATATATTTAATAAAAACTGACCAATATGAATCAAAATCTGATCTATTAATTTCCTCCTGAACACCCTCATTTCCATTGATAGTTTATCATTTAAGGCTACGTTCCATACCTCCCCATATCATGATTTCAGCGTGAGATTAGTTATGATCTTCCAGTTCCTTGCAATTATAAGTTTCACCACTGTGAATAAAATAATCACCAATCCTTTCTTTTCCATTTCTAAATTCAACTTTGTGACATCCATTAGTAATGCCAACCTATATATTATTTATTTATGTTTGACATTTTTACCCTGCTTTTCTCACCCTGGAGGGGACTCAAAGCATATAGTTACATATAGGTAACAATTTGATGCCTAAAAAAATGTGCACTTAAATAAATATTAAAATAGGATTAAAAAGTACATTAAAAACAAAACATTTACAACCAGTACCTTCAGAGTTAAACACATAATCCATGAGCGTAATCCGGGCTGTTCCAATGGTCATTGCATTGTTCCAAGTCTATCTATTGCTCAAATTCTCCAAAGGCTTGGTCACAAAGACATGTTTTCACTCTCTTGCGGTAGGTCAGGAGGGAGGGGATTGATCTAATATCCCTGGGGAGGGAGTTCCACAGCCAAGGGGCCATCACTGAGAAGGCCCTGTCTCTTGTCTCTGCCAATCGTGCCAGCGAGGGAGGCGTAACCATGAGCAGGACCTCCCTAGATGTTCTTAAACTCCACAGTGGTTCATAGAGGGAGATACATTCCAACAGATAAGCTGGGCCAGAACTGTTTAGGGCTTTATAGGTTAAAGACAGCACTTTGAATTGTGCTTGGTAGCAGATTGGCAGCCAGCGGAGCTGATGTAACGGGGGGGGGGGGGGGGTGGTATGTTCCCTGTATACCACTCTGGTGAGCAATCTGGCTGCCACCCATTGGACCATTTGTAGCTTCTTAACAGTCTTCAAACACAGCCCCACGTAGAGTGCATTGCAGTAGTCTATTTGTGATGTAACCAGAGCATGGAATAGCATGGCCAAGTCTAACTTAGCATCCGGGGTGATGTTTAGTCCTATAATGTTACCCATTTCCATAAATATATTGTTCCAAAAACTCTTCAACTGGGGGCATTCCCACCATAAATGAAAATATATCCCTTTGTGCATGCCACATCCCCATAGAGGTTACTTTGCTTCCTAGATCTAGGGTCTCTGAAGGATCTCAATTGGAAAAGGAATCTAAAGTGGAGAGTTGTTAAGAATCTGTCAATAAGATTAAAAGAAAATGTGTACGGAGTCATATGGAGATGGTATACCACATCGGTTAAATTACACCAAAGGGATAGGAAGAGAGAAGGGGGTATATAACCCAGGGCCCTTTGGCTAGGGACTGCAATAGCTTAAATCAGGCATGGGCAAACTTTGGCACTCCAGATGTTTTGGACTTCAGCTCCCAGAAATCTCAGCTTACCGGTTTTTGGGAATTGTGGAAGTCCAAAACACCTGGAGGGTTGAAGTTTGCCCATGCCTGGTTTAAATGCTTAAAGTGTTGGGAGAATCTGTAAATAAACTACTAGCATTACCACTGCTTGCCCTCCTATGTTGTCCCTTTCACAGGACACACATAAAATTCAGGTCACTTGTTGCCCTTCTCTTATGTGATCTGAGAAAGGTCTGTTTTGGATCTATCCTCCAAACCAGGGGTGTAAGATTTGTGACCCTCCAGATGTTTGGGTATCCAACTCCCAAATTAGGGCTCTCTAGGTGCTGGACTTAGGCCCCTTCTACACTGCCATTTATTTATTTGTTTGTTTGTTTGTTTATCTATTTACGACATTTATATGCTGCCATTCTCACCCCGAAGGGGACTCAGAGCAGCTTACAAGATATATATGCATACAATATACAATATATTATTAGCATAGTACAATATCAGTATTAAATATTGCTATATTGTACTATATCATTATATTGTAATATTATTAGTAATATTACATGTAATATAAATAATACATAAAATGTTCCCCATATTTGTATTCTAACCCTAAACTCTGGTGTCTTGGCAGCCCACAGGAGTGTTCAGCCGGTTGGGGGACATGCAGGAGGCGGAGGAAGACAAAGCGAGTGAGGATGATGAGGATGATGATGACAGCTCTGTCTTGCAATATGCCGGAGTGCTGAAGAGATTCTCCAAGCTGCCCAAGACCAAAGAGGGTTCCAAAGCTGGGGTGACGGTTAAAGCAAAAGCCACTAGCTCCGAGCCCAAGGTAGCAGTCACTCCTGCCCCCTCTACTGCCATCCAACGGCTAGGGAGCAAGGGTCTAGTGGGCCCTATGGCTCCCATCAAAGAAAAGAAGCCTGAGCTGCCTGCACCAAGCTATCCCGCCAAAAGACTGGGCAAGCGCTCTCTGCCCACTGAAGCCCAGGACAGCAGCATCACCAGCTCCAGGAGCAAGCCTGACCCCAGGTTCCGGATCACAATCAAGAGAACTTTGGGGAGCCCAAAGGTAAGCAGCACCACGGAGGCCCCCAGCGCCCAGATGGACAACACAGGGACAGTCAGCGTCTTTAAAAGGCTGGGCAGGAAGACCGTATGAGCCCTGCCCTGCGCGTCTGCCACAAGCATGTTGTGGAATCCTGATTGGAGGGGGTCTCCGGGCCATTTGAAATCCATGTGTGTGGTTAATTTTCACCCTTAGTTCACCAACCCACCCTTGATGTCAGTTTGCACCACAAATGGGCTCCTGTGGTTCTTTTGGGCTGATCAGTCTTGGCGAGGACTCATTCTGTCCAACTGTTAGGGTGGGCTCAGCCATGTGTAATCCATAAAGGAAAGGGAGCCATGTGTAATCCATAACACCAGAGCAGGGCAACAAACCGAGCATGGTCCAGAACGGAGATGAGAACAGATAGACTCTTGGAGAGAAAGCAAGACATCCTTGCATAAACTTGAGAGGGTCCTGAACATCCCTTTCTGTTGTTTTTCTTTCTGCAGGTCTTTGCACCTCCCTAGGAAGTAGTGTCTCCTTGAGGCAGACAAACACTGGGCTTGTGAGATGCAGGAGAGGCCTTTTTCCTTGTCCTTCCTTCTTTCCATCATCTTTTCGTTCTTCCCTTCCTGAACTTTTCACCTGCTGGGTCCTGGTATATCTGTAATCTAGGAATGGCAACAAAATAGTTACTGGTAAATTCTCTTTGATGGTCCTTGGAACAGCACACTTAGTAAACACTGTCCCAGTGCCAAATCTGATCACATGGTGGAAATAGCAGAATTCTGGTTGCTTCTCCTTAGGTTGCCATTTTTGTGCTGCCCATGCTCTGGCTTTGGTTGTTGCATGCTGGATGCAGTGGGGGCCATCGCAACTTCACTTTTTGAAATTCCTTTTTAGATTGGTGCCATCTTTCTGGCTCAGATTACAGAAGTGCCCTGTTCTGATTGGAAGGGTGATATTTCCTCATTGTCTTCCCTCCCAGAGCACTTGCAGTTAATTCCCCGGGCAAACCAGAGACTCAGTCAGTTTGGAAATTGCTCCTGAAAATTTGAGAGCATGCCCCCCTTTCAAGGTCCTGCTCACAAAAAATGTGAGCTTATACAGGGTGAGGCAGCATAACTTCCTTTTTTCAAAACTTAATAAAACTCATTGTATGAATCAGAAATTTTTATATATGTATATAAAAAGTAGGCCTCAATGGCAAAAGCACGCTGCTCACTGTTCCAACGCATGATGGCAACTGAACTGTGTCGGGACAAAACTTTATACTCCCGCCTCTTGAACAGGACCACTAGCACTCCGCTACGTCTTCAACTGACTGAATGGTGTGCATTTTAAAATAGGAAGTTATGCTGCTGCACCCTGTATTTACTCATTGTCTTCCTTCCCAGAGCACTTCCAGTTAATTCCCTGGGCAAGCCAGAGATTCAGTCAGATTGGAAATTGCTTCTTGTTAATTTGAGAGCATGCCCCCCTTACAAGGTCCTGCCCACAAAAATGAGAGCTTATATATATACATGCAGTATTGAAGAGATATTTGGCTGTCAGGATTTGGAAATCGGAAAGGCCAATGGCAGGGAGCAGAAGAGGAAAATGCATGGTGGACCCTCCTAGATGTCTTCCAAGGCTCCTGCTCCATGGCTTGCCTTTTGTTAACTTTCAGCAGCCATATGTGGAGAGAAAGGGGTAGCAGCAAAGGACCTATATATTGGGATTGGTGGGTGTTAGGTTACCTGTGCCTGCAGCCTTACTTTGAAGTTGATGGTTATCATTTACACCAGTGGTTTTCAACTTGTGGGTGCCCAGATGTTTTGGCCTTCAACTCCCAAAAATCCTAACAGCTGGCTGTGATTTCTGGGAGTTGTAGGTCAAAACACCTGGGGACCCACAGGTTGAGAACCACTGACTTACACAATTAAGGACCTAGGAAGCTTTTGGGATACCTGGGCGTTGTGTGTATCTTGTAGGAGCCATATTTATTCAAGCCGGGTGTGTCTTACCTTTGTGTGTTTTCCACCTCAAGGCTGGTAAAGTCTCCCTTCTGTGTATGCAGGATCCTCCAAAGGGCCGCTGTTTAAGGTATGCAGGGTTTCTCCTTTGCAGGTTGTCTTTCTGTCAACACAATTTAGTAGTACTAGATGGCAGCCTTGAGTTATGCAGCCATCCTTTTGTTGACATGGAGGTCTAGGAAGAAGCTGGACTATTGTTGTGAATTTGTTTTGTTGGCAAGCAGGATATTGACCAGGCCTGCAGGATATGTAAATTCTTTCCTTCTCCCTTTTTTCCTCCCTCCCTCTGTCTTCTCTCTCTTGTCCCACCCAGCAAGGCATCAGGATATTGGGGTAGATATCAGGCCTTAATTTCGCCACTCTTTCCCTCTTGGCCTTCCTCCCCAGCATCCACTGCTAGGGCAGCTTTCTTTGAATGGGCTTCCAATTTGCCACTTCCTTTTGAGGTCCTGGGGTATCTTGGCATTTATTTACTTCTATAAACTGTTAGAGAACATGTTTCTTTACTCTCTAGAGCAATGGTTCTCAATCTGTGGGTCCCCAGGTGTTTTGGCCTACAACTCACAGAAATCACAGCCAGTTTACCAGCTGTTAGAATTTCTGGGATTTCAAGGCCAAAACATCTGGAGACCCACAGGTTGAGAACTGCTGCTCTAGAAGATAGGTAGTAGTCATGTTGGACTAGTGATTTTTTAAAAAGAGGTTTGTTAAATAATTTTAACGGTGCTGGAAAACTCACAAAATAAATATTAACCAGGGGAGGGTTGTTTTTTTAGCCTACTTTCTGAGTCAAGGAAATTTGGGTGTAGCCTTGCACTGTTTTTTTGAAAAGGGGGAGAGATTCTTCCCTCTTGTTGTCTGAATTTGTTCAGGACCTCTCCTGTAGATGGGAAGCCACGAACACTCTCTTGCAATAAAAGTGTGTCTCCTCTTTCATAGCTCAAGCATGTCTTTGGGGGTTCCTCAGGAGGGGGACTGCGGGCCCTTAATGCCATGCCTCAGGGTCTGACAGTCCCACTTTAAACATAGAAAAATGAAGATTTAATTTGGATATGATTTGTGCAGGGGGCCCACTTGGGTAGTATTCATGGATGGAGGTGAGCCGCATTCAAACTAAACATGCCCACTGCCTGGACACACTGAAATGATGCTTTGGAATGCTTTCTAGTCTCAGATCCCTACAAGGCTTCAACTCATCATTGGGCCTCACACACCATCCATAAAATACATTTTAAATCAATGAGCCTCACAAAGCAACATTTGATTTGTTTTCGAAGGCTTTCATGGCCGGAATCACTGGGTTGCTGTGAGCTTTCAGGCTGTATAACCATGTTCCAGAAGCATTCTCTTCTGACATTTCGCCCACATATATGGCAAGCATCCTCAGAGGTTGTGAAGTCTTTTGGAAACTAGGCAAGTGAAGTTTATATATCTGGAATGTCCAGGGTAGGAGATAGAACTCTTTTCTTCTTGAGACAAGTGTGTTGCAATTGGCTACTTTGATTAGCATTGAATAGCCTTGCAGCTTCACAGCTTGGCGGCTTCCTGCCTGCGGGTATCCTTTGTTGGGAGGTGTTAGCTAGCCTTGATTGTTTCATGTCTGGAATTCCCCTATTATTTGAGTGTTGTTTTTTATTTACTGTCCTGATTTTAGAGTTTTTTAATACTGGTAGCCAGATTTTGTTCATTTTTATGATTTCTTCTTTTTTGTTGAAATTGTCCACATGCTTATGGATCTCAGTAGCTTCTCTGTGTAGTCTGACATGGTAGTTGTTAGAGTTTCAACATTCACACTTGCCTCAGACAAAAGTTCTTTCTCCCACCCTGGGCATTCCACAGATATATAATAATCATCATCATCATCATCATCATCATCATCATCATCCTTTATTTATACCCCGCTACCATCTCCCCAAGGAACTCGGTGCGGCTTACATGAAGCCGAGCCCGCAACACAAAATACAAGCAATAACAACAATACATGCAATTAAAATAAATCACATAGACAATAACATAAGCGATTGACAATAGTACAACACACTTTTAAAATCTATGGCTATAAACACCACTTGCCTAGTTTCCAACAAACCTGCCTGTCATAGATGTGGGCGAAACTTCAGAAGAGAATGCTTCTGGAACATGACCATACAGCCTGGAAAATTCACAGCAACTCAGTGATTCCGGCCATGAAAGCCTTTGACAGCATATCAAATGTTTCTTCGTGAGGCTCATTGATTAAAAATATGTTTTATGGAAGGCATGTAACTCTTTAAGGCCCAATGATGAGTTGGTAGCCTTGTAGGGATCTGAGAATAGAAGACATTCAAAAGCATCATTTCAGTGTGTCCAGACAGTGGACATGTTTAGTTTGAATGTGGCTCCCTCCACCCATGAAAACTCATGTCAACCCAACATTTGATAATCGGATTGGAAGTACCTGTTGGATAACTGAAAGGTTCCCCTTCGTTTGCTGCTTTGAGCCGCTTTGAATACAAATATGGGGAACATTTATGTATTTTTTAATTTTTTAAAATTCATTGTTAATAATATAGTTATTTGTAAATTTGGCAGGACTGTAGTAATAAAGAGTTCCATATCTGTAATTTCCTTCTAAATAGGGCTAAGAATGACATGTTCTTCCTTGCCACAGTGAACAGAAAAAAAATAATATTTGATTCAGTCAAAGGCAGCTGCCTCATTTACGAAATGGAAATGGTGCAACAATATGGATATTCACACTGATTTTCAGTGAACTATTGGACTCATTTAGATGGTGAGAGGAGACCCAATTCCGTAACTGATTTGGAAAGTGGCAAAGCAATGCTGTATGTCAGAGAAAGATAAGGTGTGATCTTATCACAAGTATATATCTCTGTTAACAAAGTAGTTGTGTTCCTAGGTGTTATTTCTCTAACAGAAAATTTGGTACCAGGTGGAGAAAGGAAAGAGAAGGGGGAAACCCTTCCACACAGCCATATAATCCAGAATATCAAGGCAAATAATCCACAATATCTGCTTTGAACTGGGTTATCTGAGTCCACACTGCCATATAATCCAGTTCAATGTGGATTCTATACAGCTATGTGGAAGGGGCCAAAGTAACACAGGGTGTCCCAAAAGTCACCGTACATAGGGAAAATGGGAAACTATAGCTAAATGTACCTTTGTTTACCAAATATTTATTAATTTTATTTACAAAACTCTGCCAGTATATATATATATATTTAAAAACTATGCGTTTGTTACTTTTTCCTATGTATTGAGACTTTTGCGACACACTACTTTCAATACAAATAAAAACACAAAGCTTTATAATAAAACTGTTACATTAAGTTTGTCATTATTCGCTTTTAATTAATGTATTTCAATATTAATCTCAAGGCATTATGGGTATGGCATGGCATGGCATGGCATGGCATGGCATGGCATGGCATGGCATGGCATGGCATGGTATGGTATGGATGGGGGAGGGTATTGTATTAACAACTCTCAAGCAACCAGAAGTTACATTTACCAGCTGCTTCCAATCTTCATGAGTGCCAGTTAACTATTTATTATGTCAGGAGCAAATTGAGAATACAATTATAATGTATAAAAAATCACAAACATATAACATAGCAATATAACAACAATTAAAACAATAAGTACATTCATTAAAACAATAAAAACAGTATTAATAGCTGTAACATCATTCCAGTCAATTCCATATCCAATTCCATGTCCAAAGTGCTATCTATGTTGTCCAAAAGCCTGGTCCCAGAACCACGACTTCAATTTCTTCCTAAATGACAGGAGGGACGGAGCCGATCTTGTCTCAGTGGGAAGCGAGTTCCACAGGCGGGGGGCCAAAGCCAAGAAGGCCCTGTCTCTCGTCCCCGCCAGATGTATTTGTGACACTGGCGGGAGCAAGAGCAGGGCCTCCTCAGATGATCTTAAACTGTGAGGCGGAACATAGAGGGAGATGTGTTTGGAAGTGTAAGCTGGGCCAGAACTGTATAGGGCTTTATAGGTCAAAACCAGCACTTTGGATTGAGCTCGGAAGTGGACTGGCAGCCAGTGGAGCTGACATAACAGAGGAGTGGTGTGCTCCCTGTATGACGCTCCGGTGATTAATCTGGCTGCCGCCCGTTGGACTAGTTGAACTTTCCGAACAGTCTTCAAAGGCAACCGCACATAGAGTGCGTTGCAGTAATCTATTCAGGATGTAACAAGAGCGTGGACCACTGTGGCCAGATCAGACTTCCCAAGGTACAGGCGCAGCTGGCGCACAAGCTTTAACTGTGCGAAAGCTCCCCTGGCCACTGCCTAAACCTGGGGTTCCAGGTTCAGCGGTGAATCCAGGATCACTCCCAAGCTGCGAACCTGCATCTTCAGTGGGAGTGTAACCCTATCCAACATAGGCTGTAACTTTATGGCCATGTTCACGACCTATGAGGATGCCTGCCATAGATGTAGGTGAAACATTAGGAGAGAATGCTTCTGGAACATGGCCATGCGGCTCAAAAAACTTACAACTCTGTTTCGTTCGGAAAAATGCTGCACTCGCAGATCTCAGGTGGTGTTGTATTTCAGTGTCAACGTTGACTTTTGTGGGGAGGTGGCTGCCAAGGTAGTGCAAATGGTCAACACAATAAAGGTAAACATTCAATGCCTATATAAAACACTAGCCGTCCCCTGCCACGCGTTGCTGTGGCCCACATAGGGGTTCTGTATGGGAGGTTTGGCCCAATTCTATCGGTGGGGTTCAAAATGCTCTGTGATTGTAGGTGAACTATAAATCTCAGCAACTACAACTCCCAAATGTCAAGATTCTATTTTCCCCAAACTCCACCAGTGTTCACATTTTATTATTATTAAACTTTATTTGTACCCCACTAGCATCTCCCGAAGGACTTGATGAGGCTTACAAAGTCCAAGGCATCAACACAACAACAGACAATAACAATACAATGCAAAGCAAATTAAAAACATAAGCAATAACAAAAACAAAACATTACACTATTACACAATAAAACCAGGGCCGGGTCAATGAAGGGTACAGGTTAAAAAAGTGCTGGGTGTGAGAGGTGATATGTTGGGATTCTGGGCAAGTGCAATGTGCAAAGAGTCTTAAACTAAAGTGCTTCAGGGACGTAATGCTGGAGGTTATGCTATTCTGTCTGGAAAGGCACATCGGAATAGCCAGGTCTTCAAGTTCTTCCTAAAGACTGCCAACGTGGGTGCTAGTCTAATGTCTTTGGGGAGGGTGTTCCAAAGTCGGGAGGCAACCACAGAGAAGGCCCTGTCCCTCGTCCCCACTAAACGAGCCTGCAACGCAGGTGGAATCGTGAGCAGGGCCTCTCCGGATGAACGGAGGGAGCGCATGGGTTCATATACGGAGATGCGGTCATGCAGGTAGGCAGGTCCCAAACCGTTTAGGGCTTTGTAGGTAAGCACCTGCACCTTGAATTGGGCTCAGTAGGTAAATGGCAGCCAATGGAGCTCCTTAAACAGGAGGGTATATTGAGTATTCGTGTAGAGTTTGGTCCAGATCCATCATAGTTTGAGTCCACAGTGATCTCTGAATGTAGGTGAACTACAACTCCAAAACCAAAGGACACTGCCCACCAAACCCTTCCAGTATATTCTGTTGGTCATGGGAGTACTGTGTGCCAAGTTTGGTTCATTGGTGGGGTTCAGAATGCTCTTTGATTGTAGGTGAACTATAAATCCCGGCAACTACAACTCCCAAATGACAAAATCAATTTTTTTGCGTGGACATACATTGGGTTGTTAGGTGTCTTGTGTCCAAATTTGGTGTCAGTTGCCCCAGTGGTTTTTGAGTTCTGTTAATCCCACAAACTAACATTACATTTTTATTTATATAGATAGAAGATGCCGCCCCCCCCCAGTGGCTCAGTGGGTTAAAGCACTGAGCTGCTGAGCTTGTTGACCAAAAGGTCGCAGGTTCGATTCCAGGGAGCGGCGTGAGCTTCTGCTTTCAGCCCTAGCTTCTGCCAACCTAGCAGTTCGAAAACATGCAAATTTGAGTAGATCAATAGGTACCGCTCCGGTGGGAAGGTAGCGGCGCTCCATGCGGTCATGTCGGCCACATGACCTTGGAGGTGTCTATGGACAACGCCGGCTCTTCGGCTTAGAAATGGAGATAAGCACCACACCCCAGAGTCAGACATGACTGGACTTAATGTCAGGTGACAACCTTTACCTTAAGATAAGTAAAAAAAATGTAAACAAAACATATATATACAATACATTGCACAATGAATTGAAACAAGTAATTTAAATTAATAATCATTAAATAATCATCATTTAAGCCATTGAAAGCCAGCTGAGACAGAATGTTATAGTCTGGCCTTGGCCCCTTGGGTTCTTCTGCCTGACCTGCAGAAGAACCCTCCCTCTCTCTTGCTCCCTTGGCCGTTTCAGGCTAGCCCTCCGCGCATGCGCATTGCAGGACCCCGCCCGGCCTCCGCCCCCTCCGCCCACGCAGGCGCCATCGTGACTTCGCGCCCGACCCGCGCATGCGCCTTGGGAGGAGCTGGACCGCGCCTGCGCAGGAGAGGGGAAAGTGTCGGCGGCGCCCCTTACTATTCGCCTCCCTCCCTCTCTCTCTCTCCCGCCCCAAACGGAGGAAGGCGTCCGTCGGGCCTGACGGCGTGAAAACATGGGCCTGAGGGGACGCCGGTAGCGGCCACAGCAGCGGTAGGTGAGAGAAAGCGAAGGGCTGTGAGGGGAGAGAAACACACACACACACACACAAACACCATAGTCTCGCGAGACTTCCTTTTCCAATCCCCCCTCCCCCTATTTGTAAGCTTCCAGTGGTACAGCCCGGGCAGGCGAGCGCGGGTCTGATAAGGGTTAAACCATTAGGCCGCAAAACTGAGGGGTGTGTGAGAGGGGAAAGGGGGCGGAATGCAGGGAACTTAACAGGGGAGGCGAAGGCCTTTCAGAGAAGCCAGATGCTTCTGTCGATAAGCGGTGGGTTTCTCCAGCCTCCATTTTTTTCCCTTTATGATTGCCATTTTATAGCTTTACTGGCCAGTCAAGGCTTATTTTCGCTTCTCTCGTTTTGCCCTTTGCGCGTGCGCAGTATGGGCTTCTGAAGGCAGCTGCTGTTTCCTTTGCTTGTTGTCTGCAGGCGCACCGTTGGATCGGCCAGATTCTAGAATAAGATTTGGCATTCTTTCCCAGATCATATTTGATTGCATGGTTTACTGAACCCAATTAAGTCAGGCATGGGCAAACTTGGGTCTTACTGGTGTTTTGGACTTCAACTCCCACAATTCCTAACAGCCTCAGGCCCTTTCCTTTCCCCCCTCAGCCTCTTAAGATGAGGAATTATGGAAATTGAAATCCAAAACATCTACAGTTTGCCCATGCCTGATCTAAGTAAAATAATATTCCACAAATAAATCCAGCTTGAGGACTGAGGCTGTTAGGAATCGTGGGAGTTCAAGTTCAAAACACCAGTAGGGCCCAAGTTTGCCCATGCCTGATCTAAGTAAAATGATATTCCAAAAATAACAAATAATTCCAACTTGAGAACTGAGGCTGGTAGGAATTGTAGGAGTTGAAGTCCAAAACACCCGTAGGGCCCAAGTTTGCCCATGCCTGATCTAAATAAAATAATATTCCACAAATAACAGATAATTCCAGCTTAAAAAATCTCATCCTAATATGGGAGGATTCCCCCACTGAGAAAGGAAGGACTCCCTCCTTGGATGTGGCCTAGACCAGTGGTTCTCAACCTGTGGGTCCCCAGAAGTTTTGGCCTTCAACTCCCAGAAATGCTAACAGTTGGGAAATACCTGGAAACCCACAGGTTGAGAACCACTCACACATGAGAAAAGAGCATTGTTTTCAAGCCTTCCCCCCCCCCTCCCTCCATCCATGTGCATGGTACTTTGGAGATGATAGGGCTACAGGAAAAGAGATTCCACGTAAGTATTAGGAAGAACTTATAATCATAGAATTGGATGAGACAACATGGGCCATCTAGTCTAACCCCCTGCCATGTGGGAACAGCACAATCAAATCGCCCCCACAGATGGTCATCCTGCCTCTGTTTAAAAGCCTCCAAGGAAGGAACTTCCACCAGACTGCGAAAGAGAGTTCTACTGTTTAATACCTCTCATAGTCAGGAGGTTCTTCATAATGTTCAGAGGGGTTCTCCATTCCTATAATTTGAACCTATTGTTCCACTGAGGCCCCTTCCACACAGCCGTTTTGAACAGGAATATATAGGAGTTTGGACTTGAATAACCCAGTTCCAAACAGATGTGGGATTTTCTGCGTTGATATTCTGGGTTATATGACGTGTAGAACAGCCCTGAGTCCTAGTCTTCAAGGCAGCAGAAAATAAGCCTCCTTCCTCTTTTTTTAGACAACCTTTCAAATATTTAAACATGGCGATTATGTCACCTCTCGACCTTCTCTTCTGTAGGCTAAACATTTTACCTGTCCGAACGTATCTCCCTCTACGAACCACCAAGGATGTTGAGATCATCTGGGGAGTCCCTGCTCTTGGTCTCACCTTCTTCGCAGGTGCGAATGGTGGGGATGAGAGACAGGGCCTTCTCTGTAGTTGCCCTTCGGCTGTGGAACACCCTCCCCAATTAAATTAGATCTGCCCCCTCCCTCCAGGCCTTTTGTAAAAAAACCCAAAACCTGGCTGTGGGATCAAGCATTTCAGCAGTACATGAAGCAACTAAGAAAATATTGTTTTAAGTGACCGACTATGGACTCACTGGAACCATGAGTTTGAACTGGCTGACTGTCTTAAATTAAATGTACATAAATGTTTTAATTGTGATATTTTACTTGTATATTGCTGGCATCTAATGGTTGCATTTTGTAAGCTGCCCTGAGTCCCCCTCCGGGGGTGAGAAGGACAGGATATAAATACTCTAAATAAATAAATAAACAAACAACCCCAGTTCTTTAAGTGCTCCTTGCAGGGATTCAAGATCCCCAGACCTTTGATAATTTTAGTCGCCCTCCTTTGGGCACGTTCCAGCTTGTCAATATCGCTTTTAAATTGTGCATAGTATTCCAGGTAAGGTATAACCAAAGCAAAATAGAGAGGAACCAATACTTCCATTGATCTAGACCAGGGGTCCTTAAACTTTTTAAACAGAGGGCCAGGTCACAGCCCCTCAAACTGTTGGAGGGCCAGATTATAATTTGAAAAAAGCATGAATGAATTCCTATGCACACTGCACATATCTTATTTGTAGTGCAAAAAACACTTAAAACAATACAATAATTAAAATGAAAAACAATTTTAACAAATATAAATTTATTAGTATTTTAGTGGGAAGTGTGGGCCTGCTTTTGGCTGATGAGATAGGATTGTTGGTGTTGTTGTGTGCTTTTGAAATCGTTTAAGACTTAGGTTGACCTTGAGCAAGGGCCGGATAAATGACCTTGGAGGGCCGTATTCGGGCCTTAGTTTGAGGACCTCTGATCTAGACACTATATGTCTTTTGATGCAGCCCAAATTCCCATTGGCATTTTTAAGCTGCTGCATCACATTGGTACATGTTCAACTTCTTGTCCACTAAGATTCCAAGGTCTTTTTCTCATGCGACTCTATTGTTGAGCCAGGCAATGTCAGGCATCTCTGTATTTCATTTTTTCTGCCTAAGTGAGTATCTTATATTTCTCCCTGTTGAAATTTATTTTGTTAGTTTTGGCCCAACTCTCTAATCTCTTGAGGTCATTTTGGATTCTGATCCTGTCTTCTGGAGTATTCGCTATCCCAGTTTGATGTCATCTGCAGACTTGATAAAGATGTCAAGACTTGGACAACCAGAAGTTTGACTGGAACATGTTGCCTCAGAGTTCAGGAAAGTTTCTTTCTTGGAAGGTTTTTACAGAGACCAGATTGCTGGCCTTCTGGAGTGTTTTGATTGTGTATTCCTGTATGGCAGAATGGGGTTGGACTGGATGACCCTTTGGGACTCACCCAGTTGTATGATTCTCTGCCCTGAAGTGGAACATCCATTTCTTTGAAAACTGCAATGACAGCAGAGAAAAGGGAGAAAGCAACAGAAGCCCCACAGAGGAGGCAGTGTTACAGTAATACATATTAATTGTGAATGTTTTGAGGTTTGTGCTACCTTCCTGCCCTTTCACATAAGAGTTTTTAAGGACCATGTGTATTCTTAGCTCCAGTGCTGCCATCACAATTATCAGGAGCTGAGTTTCCAATGAAATTTTTGGCTGCAGTCATTTATGCTTTGGCTTATTTGCTGCCAGACACTGCTTTAGATGGCGTTATGATATTTGGGACGAGAGGAAGCAGGAACTGGCAGTGCAATTCCATTGATCTCCAAAGTTTTTGGTCCCAATGGGAAGCAGCAAGCTGAGGTGTTGCATGCCAGCACAGATTGCAGTAAGAGAAAAGGACTGTGGCTTCCTTTACTATTAACAGTGTTATTGGAGCCCCTGGTGGTGCAATGAGTTAAACCCTTGTGCTGGCAGGACTGCTGAAAGGTTGGCGGTTTAAATCCGGGGAGTGGGGTGAGCTCCCATCTGTCAGCTCCAGCTCCTCATGCGGGGACATGAAAGAAGCCTCCCACAGGATGGTAAAATATCAAATATCCGGGCAATCCCTGGGCAATGTCCTTGCAGATGTACAATTCTCTCACGCCAAAAGAGACTTGCAGTTTCTCAAGTTGCTCCTGACACGAAAAAAAGTGTTAACATTCTGCTGTTCTCCTGATGTATGCCATTAGGACTGTGTGTACATTTTGGCCTTGTTTCTATGCCATCTTCCCAAAAATGCTGCAAAAACAGTTAAACAGCAAGATGTCAACTGCCCCAAGCTGTGGTAGCTGAGTTAGGATTTTGCATGGTGTCTCTTACACAAATCCCATTGGCTCACCAGGTACAAAAAATGATACATGATGGAGGACAAAATGCCCAGAGCAGGGTAAACAGTTGAGGGAAAGTTATCGTTATCCTTTTCCCTAGCTGTTGACATGCTTTCATGGGGAACAGAAGAAAGAGTAAAAAAACCACTAGCCCATAGTCTGATTTCAAAAGTCTTCTACAAGTAGTCATTCCAGATTAATGGAATGCATAAATAAAAATGTAATGTTTGTGGATTAACATAACTTAAAAACCATTGGGCGAATTGACACCAAATTTGGGTACAATACACCTATCAGGCCAACGAGTGACCATCACTCATAAAAACACTGAAAAACAGAGCGGAAGATACTTAAAAGGCCAAAAAATAAAAAATACATTACAATGCATGCTCAAAACTACATATATACACATATACACAAATATATATACACACAAAACACATATACACAGACTGGACCACAGCAATGCGTGGCAGGGGACAGCTAGCATACAATAGGGAAGAAGGTGGTGGGAAGGTGTATGCAGGTGTGATGATTCCATCTGTCACTTTTCTGGGCATCAATTTATTCATCTTTCTTTTGTATTGTCCATCACACTAGAAGCTGTGTAACAGTTTCAGAGCTATTCTTTTCAAACCCTGTTCTTGTATTGGCCTAGTCAAGGAGACTGCTTTCTAAAGTTGGAGTTGCCCTCAAGTTGCAGGGCAAAGTTTTTATTTGGGAAAAAGCAGGCTTTTGAGAACGTTCTCAACCGGAAAGTTGCATAGATGATAACTAGTATAGCAGGGTTGCTTTGGGTCTTGGTTCCTGTTATAAACACAGAAAT